CGGCTACGTAGGTCAGTGAGGGCTCTTTTAATCATTCACTCATTTAGACCTCTTTCACACCAGTAAAAAGATGCCGTTGGGCTGTCCCCTAACACACAAAACACGGGAGTGACACTCGACACACGGGGATGACACACGACACACAGGGATGACACACGACACACAGGGATGACACACAACACATGGGGATGACACACAACACACGGAGATGACACACAACACACGGGGATGACACACAACACACGGGGGTGACACACAACACACGGGGATGACACACAACACACACGGGGGTGACACACAACACACGGGGATGACACACAACACACGGGGATGACACACAAAACACGGGGGTGACACACGACACACACGGGGATGACACACGACACACGGGGATGACATTCGACACACGGGGGTGACACTCGACACACGGGGGGTGACACACAAAACACAGGGGTGACACTCGACACACGGGGATGACACACAACACAAGGGGATGACACACAACACACAGAGATGACACACAACACACGGAGATGACACACAACACACGGGGATGACACACAACACACGGGGATGACACACAACACACACGGGGGTGACACACAACACACGGGGATGACACACAACACACGGGGATGACACACAAAAACGGGGGGTGACACACGGGGATGACACACAACACACGGGGATGACATGACACACAAAACACAGGGGTGACACACAAAAACAAGGGGGTGACACTCGACACACGGGGATGACACACGACACACGGGGATGACACACGACACACAGGGGTGACACACGACACACGGGGGTGACACACGACACACGGGGATGACACACAACACACGGGGATGACACACAACACACGGGGATGACACACGATACACGGGGATGACACACGACACACGGGGGGGTGACACACGACACACGGAGATGACACATGACACACGGACGGGGGTGACACACAACACACGGAGATGACACACAACACACGGGGATGACACACAACACACGGGGGTGACACACAACACACGGAGATGACACACAACACACGGGGATGACACACAACACACGGGGATGACACACACCACACACACGGGGATGACACACAACACACACGGGGGGTGACACACAACACACGGGGATGACACACAACACACGGGGATGACACACAAAACACGGGGGGGGTGACACACGACACACGGGGATGACACACGACACACGGGGATGACACACGACACACGGGGGTGACACACGACACACGGGGATGACACACAACACACGGGGATGACACACAACACACGGGGATGACACACAACACACGGGGGGTGACACACGACACACGGAGATGACACATGACACACGGACGGGGGTGACACACAACACACCCAGCAGTGATTTGGCCACCTTCCAGCCTTTTTATATCTAATGTAAACAAAGAGCAAATACACAGAAAAAGAGGGGAGAGTCGAACATGGAGGTCTGACTGAGGATGAATTGCTCCACACTGCCTGCGGCTACGTAGGTCAGTGAGGGCTCTTTTAATCATTCACTCATTTAGACCTCTTTCACACCAGTAAAAAGATGCCGTTGGGCTGTCCCCTAACACACAAAAACACGGGAGTGACACTCGACACACGGGGATGACACACGACACACAGGGATGACACACAAACACATGGGGATGACACACAACACACGGAGATGACACACAACACACGGAGATGACACACAACACACGGGGATGACACACAACACACGGGGGTGACACACAACACACGGGGGTGACACACAACACACGGGGATGACACACAACACACATGGAGGTGACACACAACACACGGGGATGACACACAACACACGGGGATGACACACAAAACAGGGGGGGTGACACACGGGGATGACACACAACACACGGGGGTGACACTCGACACACGGGGGTGACACACAAAACACGGGGGTGACACTCGACACACGGGGGTGACACTCGACACACGGGGGTGACACTCGACACACGGGGGTGACACACAACACAAGGGGATGACACACAACACACGGGGATGACACACAACACACGGGGATGACACACAACACACACGGGGGTGACACACAACACACACGGGGATGACACACAACACACGGGGATGACAAAACAAAACACGGGGGTGACACACGACACACGGGGATGACACACGACACACGGGATGACACACAACACACAGGGGTGACACACACAAAACACAGGGGTGACACTCGGCACACGGGGATGACACACGACACACGGGGATGACACACGGGGATGACACACAAAACGGGGGTGACACACGACACACAAGGATGACACACGACACACGGGGATGACACACAACACACAGGGGTGACACACAAAACACGGGGGTGACACACAAAACACGGGGGTGACACTCGACACACGGGGATGACACACGGGGATGACACACGACACACGGGGATGACACACAACACACGGGGGTGACACACACACGACACACGGAGATGACACACGACACATGGGGGTGACACACGACACACGGGGATGACACACGACACACGGAGATGACACACAACACACGGGGATGACACACAACACACGGGGGTGGCACACAACACACGGGGATGACACACAACACACGGGGATGACACACAACACACGGGGGTGACACACAACACACGGGGATGACACACAAACCGGACGGGGGTGACACACAACACACGGGGATGACACACAACACACACGGGGGTGACACACGACACACGGGGATGACACACAACACACGGGGATGACACACAACACACGGGGATGACACACAACGCACGGGGGTGACACACACACACACGGAGATGACACATGACACACACACGGACGGGGGTGACACACAACACACCCAGCAGTGATTTGGCCACCTTCCAGCCTTTTTATATCTAATGTAAACAAAGAGCAAATACACAGAAAAAGAGGGGAGAGTCGAACATGGAGGTCTGACTGAGGATGAATTGCTCCACACTGCCTGCGGCTACGTAGGTCAGTGAGGGCTCTTTTAATCATTCACTCATTTAGACCTCTTTCACACCAGTAAAAAGATGCCGTTGGGCTGTCCCCTAACACACAAAACACGGGAGTGACACTCGACACACGGGGATGACACACGACACACAGGGATGACACACAACACATGGGGATGACACACAACACAGAGATGACACACAACACACGGAGATGACACACAACACACGGGGATGACACACAACACACGGGGGTGACACACAACACACGGGGGTGACACCACAACACACGGGGATGACACACAACACACATGGAGGTGACACACAACACACGGGGATGACCACACAACACACGGGGATGACACACAAAACAGGGGGGGGTGACACCACGGGGATGACACACACAACACACGGGGGGTGACACTCGACACACGGGGGTGACACACACAAAACACGGGGGTGACACTCGACACACGGGGGTGACACTCGACACACGGGGGTGACACTCGACACACGGGGGTGACACACAACACAAGGGGATGACACACAACACACGGGGATGACACACAACACACGGGGATGACACAAAACACACACGGGGGTGACACACACAACACACACCGGGGATGACACACAACACACGGGGATGACAAACAAAACACGGGGGTGACACACGACACACGGGGATGACACACACACACGGGGATGACACACAACACACAGGGGTGACACACAAAACACAGGGGTGACACTCGGCACACGGGGATGACACACGACACACGGGGATGACACACGGGGATGACACACAAAACGGGGGGGGGTGACACACGACACACAAGGATGACACACACGACACACGGGGATGACACAAAAAACACACAGGGGTGACACACACCACACGGGGGTGACACTCGACACACGGGGATGACACAGGGGGATGACACACACACACACGGGGATGACACACACAAACACACGGGGGTGACACACGACACACGGAGATGACACACGACACACGGGGGTGACACACGACACACGGGGATGACACACGACACACGGAGATGACACACAACACACGGGGATGACACACAACACACGGGGGTGGCACACAACACACGGGGATGACACACAACACACGGGGATGACACACAACACACGGGGGTGACACACAACACACGGGGAAGACACACAACACACGGACGGACGGGGGTGACACACAACACACGGGGATGACACACAACACACACGGGGATGACACACAACACACGGGGGTGGCACACAACACACGGGGATGACACACAACACACGGGGGATGACACACAACACACGGGGGGTGACACACAACACACGGGGGTGACACACACAACACACGGGGATGACACACACCAACACACGGACGGGGGTGACACACAAACACACGGGGATGACACACAACACACACGGGGATGACACACAACACACGGACGGGGGTGACACACACAACACACGGACGGGGGTGACACACAACACACGGACGGGGATGACACACAACACACGGGGAATTTTAGCCCAGAGATAAAAGTGTATGGCAACAGTTGCAGCGCACACACCAGTAACCTCCACGGCTTTCCCTGCCGTTCCTTCAGGTTTCTTTGTCAAGGCGGAGATGTTCAGTACAGAGGGGCTTCTGTACAAGAAGAAAACGCGATCGCTAAAGCCGTCGAATGGACAAAGTGAACTGGGGGGAGACCATGCTGTTCCCATTGACGCAGAAAGAAGAAGGGATTAACTTTCTTATCAAACTGTATAGCCGGAGTTCCGTCAGAAGGAAACATTTCATTGGTCAGGTAATGGGAAAGTTATCAACAGACTGCATCTCAAAGATAATTGGAATCAGGGGCGGACTGACAACTCATGGGGCCCCTGGCCAATAGGGGATCATGGGGCCCCTGTGTCCTTGCCCAAACTCAAATCACACCTAAAAATGTCTATGAAAGGTACCAGGGGCATCTCATGGGGCCCCCTACTGACCCCGGGCCCTCGGGCAGAGCCCGAGTTCCCAAATGGTCAGTCCGCCCCTGATTGGAATGGTTATCAGTATTGTAGATAAAGCTGGAAGGGAGTCTCTGGAGGATTGTTCATTGTCAGCTGACCAGAGAAATCTCTGTGGGTTCGTTCACACCTGGGAATGCACCCTGCCTGCGATTATATGGGAGAACTCCGGCGGGGGTTCCAGTGATATGGTGCAATAGGCAGCCCAACTGAAAGGAATAGGAGGCTGCTGGATCACGCAGCGATCACATGTGAGCGATCAGCCATGGATGCAGACTGCCTGCGTCCATGGCCAATCACTTGCATGTGATTGCTGCACGTCATTAACCTGGAACAACTGTGCAGCCAATGAGATCGGGACGGACTACTAACCTTCATACTTGTTTTAGGTGAGTGACTCTTAGTAGTGAAAGATGACGGCAATGGATCTTGTATCTGATAGGCTGGCTTCACACCTATGTACTGAAACAAGGCTTCATTCACAAGGGTGTACTGAAGAGTACACCCATGCAAAAGGGTCAGATTTGCCCACACGGGACGCACCGGCATTCCTTGCATCCCAAATTGTACTTCAATGGTTTTTATTAGTTTTAAACAAAGAAGGTGTTAGGGGTGTGGGGGGGGGGGGGGACATATTTAAGACTTAGACAGGTGAGGCTGGAATTCTACTTTAAAGAGTTGTAAAAAAAATAAAAGTCAGCAGCTACAAAAACTGTAGCTGCCGACTTAAAAAAAAACAGCCACTTACCTGTCCGTCGATCCTGCGGTGTCCTCCCCGCAACCCTGTTTACTGGCTGTCCGGTGTTGCCAGCGCTGGCATGCATGAGTAGCGATGCGCTTTCTGAATGGTCCCGTAGTCTGCTGGGACCTGTCACCTGTCTCAAATGACTGCGGGGGGGGGGGGGCAACTTCCGCTTACCTACATTGGGGTCTCCAACCTTTCCAAGCAAAGTGCCAGTTTACTGTCCTTCAGACTTTGGGGGGGGGGGGGGGGGAACTGTGGCCATTGGGAGTGGAAAACATCCTGACATCAGTGAGAATAGACAATGCCCCATCTTTGATGTCAGTGGGAAAAATTGCAATCCATTGTTTGCAGTGGGAGGAACTGAGTCCTGTTGATGTTATTGAGAGGAATTGTACCCTATAGTTGGTGTCATTGGGAGGAGTTGTACCCTATAGTTGGTGTCATTGGGAGGAATTGTACCCTATGGTTGGTGTCATTGGGAGGAGTTGTACCCTATAGTCATTGGGAGGGTTTGTCAGTTGGGATTGGGAGGAGTTGTACCCTATAGTTGGTGTCATTGGGAGGAGTTGTACCCTATAGTTGGTGTCATTGGGAGGAGTTGTACCCTATAGTTGGTTGTACCCTATAGTTGGTGTCATTGGGAGGAGTTGTACCCTATAGTTGGTGTCATTGGGAGGAGTTGTACCCTATAGTTGGTGTCATTGGGATTGGGAGGAATTGTACCCTATAGTTGGTGTCATTGGGAGGAATTGTACCCTATAGTTGGTGTCATTGGAATTTGTACCCTATAGGAATTGTGTCCCATAGTTGGTGTCATTGGAAGGAATTGTGCCCCATCGTTGGTATCCTTGGAAGGAATTGTGCCCCATCGTTGGTATCCTTGGAAGGAATTGTGCCCCATCGTTGGTGTCAGTGGGGGGGAATTATGCCTTATTGTTGGTATCAGCAAGGGTATATTTAACACAAGGCAAACAAGGCATTTGCCTAGGGCGGTATTTTTTCAGGGAGGCAGTGGCATTTTTCAGGGGGCAGCAGTGCCCCCCGAAAGAAGGGATGGAAGAAAGGACGCACACAGCATGGGCACCAGCTGGGATCTGAGAGAGGCTGCGGGCAGCTTGATGGTGTATGCAGAGCCTGACTCTCGTTCCCGGGGATGTCCAGAGCTGTGAAGTTCTTCTTTCTCGCCAGGGTGGGGGTGGGGGTTGCCAGTGTATGGGGGGCGGTGGTAGTGGAAGGTTCTCTCGGGTGGGGTGTTGTTGGTCAATGTCAGGCTCTTATCGTGGGGGGAGGGGGGGTTTGTCAGTGTCAGGATCTCTCCATGGGGGCAGACGATTTTTGGGTTGCCTAGGGCAGCATAAAACCGAAATACACCACTGGGCATCAGTGGATGAAATAGTGAAGAAGCAAGCAAAGGACTGCATCCGGCACCCGGGCCGCAGTTTGGACCACTTGCCTAGCTGATCACAGTGGGTGTGGGTACCTGTCACTTTTGGGTACCCCCTTCCCGATTCCTAAAGGTGCCAATCAGGGGTGGACTGACAACTCATGAGGTCCCCGGGCAATAGGGGATCATGGGGCCCCTGTGTCCTCGCCCACACTCCAACCACACCCAAAAAAGCCTATGAAAGGTACCAGGGGCATCTCATGGGGCCCCCTACTGACCCCAGGCCCTCGGGCAGTGCCCGAATGGTCAGTCCGCCCCTGGAGCCAATCCTTAACGGGGAGCGAGGGGGGCAGTTCTTAAAGCAGAACTCCCCCTTTTGGGTGGAGCTCCATTTTAAGTAAAAGCAGCAGAAATGTAAAAATTGCTCTGCTGTTTAATGGGGTGTACAGGTATGAGAGCTGTTGGCAGGGATTAATCACACGCAATGGCCATTGAATTTAGTAGAGTAATTATACCAGCAAAAAATAACCCGTGTGCGTCATAAATTCTGGCAAGGAGGTTATTTGCTTTGCTTTTAGAGAAAAAAAAAAAGAAGAAAAGAAAGAAAAAAAACCCACAACATTGCAAATTTCCCCTCTTCCCTCTCCAGCAACAAAACTTTCTTTCATAGAACATGCACAAAGCGCTCAGCTATCGAACCAGGATGATTGTTTTACATTTCTTCTAAAAAAAGGAAAAAAGACAGGATTTTCCAGGAGAAGGAAATGTCACTTGTATAAATTACAGGAGGGGCAGATGCAGCTTTCACTCTCCTAAATGTAACCCATTCATCCATTGTGCTACTTAAATACAACTTAATGTTAAATGGTCGTGTGTGACGGTGAGGATTGGTTTACACCGGGGACAATACCATGAAACAGGATACCACATCGGGGGAAACTGAGGCATTGTAAAGGATGCAAAAGGATACTGAATGGAGGTGACTTCGTGTGCGAGAACAACGTGTACAGATTGTGTGGCAAACTGGTGTTCGGTTAGAAGATAGATAGATAGATAGATAGATAGATAGATAGATAGATAGATAGATAAAAATAATAGATAGATAGATAAAGATAGATAGATAGATAGATAGATAATAGAATAGATAGATAGATAGATAGATAGATAGATAATAGATAGATAGATAATAGATAGATAGATAGTAAGATTAGATAGATAGGATAGATAGATAGATAATAGATAGATAGAGGGATAAAAAAATAGATAGATAAAATAGATAGATAGATAGAATAGAAATGATAGATAGAATAGATAGATAGATAGATAGATAGATAGATAGATAATAGATAGATAAAAGATAGATAGATAGATAGATAGATAGATAGATAGATAGAAAGATAGATAGAAAAGATAATAGATAGATAGATAGATAGATAGATAGATAGATAGATAGTAGATAGAAAATGATAGATAGATTAGATAGATAGATAGATAGATAAAAGATAGATAGATAGTTAGAAGATAGATAATAGATAGATAGATAGATAGTAATAGATAGATAGATAGATAAATAGATAGATAGATAATAGATAGATAGATAGATAGATAGAAATTAATAGATAGATAGATAATAGATAGATAAAAAGATAGATAGATAGATAGAAGATAGATAGATAATAGATAGATAATAGATAGAAATAGATAGAATAATAATAGATAGATAGATAATAGATAGAAATAGATAGATAGATAGATAAATAAAGAAAGAAAAAGAAATAGAAGATAATAGATAGATAGGATATAGAAATAATAAAATAGAAAAAGATAATAGATAATAGATAGATAGATAGATAGATAGATAGATAGATAAAAGATTAAAATAGATAGATAGATAGATAGATAGATAGATAGAAAAAAAATTTAGATATAGATAGAATAATAATAGAAAAAAGATAAAAGATAATAGAATATAGATAGATAAAAATAGATAGATAAAAAAAGATAGATAATAGATAGATAGAGAAAGATAGATAGAAAAAGAAATTTAGATAGATAGAAAAGATAAAAGATAGGATAGATAGATAGATAATAGATAGATAGATAGATAGATAGATAAATTAGATAGAAAAATAATAGATAGATAGATAGAGATAATGAGTTTTAGATAAGAAAAAAGAAAAAAATAGATAGATAATAAATAGATAAGATAAATAGATAAAAAAATAGATAATAAAATAGATGAAAAAATTGATAATAAAATAAAAAATAGAAGAAAAAAGAATAAAATATAATAGATAGATAGAAAAAAATAAAAATTTATGATAGAAAAAAAATAGATAGATAATAAAAGATAAAAGATAGATAGATAAAAAATAATAGTAAAAGATAATTAGATAATAAATAGATAGATAGAAAAAAAATAAAAATAATAGATAAAAAAAGAAGATAGAAAAAATAGAAAAAAAAAAATATAAAATAAATAATAGAAGAAGATAATAGATAGATTAAAATAGAAAAAAAATTTAGAAAAAAAATAGATAAATAAAAAATAAAAATAGATAAAATAATAAAATAGATAAAAATAAAAAAGATAATAGATAAAAAAATAAATAGGATAGAAAAAAAATAAATAGAAATATTAGATTTAAAATAATAGAAAAGAAAGAAAAAAAAAAAAAATAGATAGATAATAAAGAAAAAAAATAAAATATTAAAAAAATAATATAGATAAAAAAAAAAAAATAATAATAAATAAAAATTAATAGAAAAAAAAAAAAATAATAAATAGATAGAAAAAAGATAAAAAAGAAAAAAAAGAAAGATAAAAAAAAAAAAATAAATAATAATTAAAAAAAGTTAGATATAAAATAAAGATAATAAAAGAAAAAAAAAAATAAAAAAAA